CTGGAGTGAAAGACCCATCCTAAGTGGAGGGAGAGGCTATAGGCTCAAAAGCAGCAACCATGAGGCCAGGTGGTAGGGTTGAGAAGGTGGTGATACTTCCATAGAACTGCCTGGAAAGGCTCCCTTGTTACTACCAACTGCCAGAGGAAGAAACTTTAGAAATGAACAGGGGTCTTGTCTATTTCTCAGGAAGTTAGAACTTCCTGGTACCCATCCCCATCCACTCTGATGTCCATGAGCCAGAAGACCAGGAGAAGAAACAACTTTCCAAGTGACTTCCCTGGCCATTCTTGATTCTCAGTCCTGTATGATTTTAGACTCACTGAACTATTTGGGAACTTGACCAGCTTCCATGCCCCGCCCTCTCGCAGAGTCCAGCCCACAGCAGACTCTTCTCCTGCCGACTCACCTCCCATCTCTCACCAGTACACAGACCAAACCACAAAGCCCAGAGACATAAGCAAAATGAGAAAGAAGGAAAGGAAGACCACTTATCCTCACACAACTGAGGTGTACAGACCACTATCCTCAATTCATTGATTAGGCGGTTGAGGCTTAAAGAGATTCATTCCCTTGCTCAGGGTCATACAGGTACCAAGCGCCAGGGCTGGTTTCCAGCTCCTGTTGCGTCCCATGCAAAAACCTCGTATTTTCTTCCATATGCTCCCTCCAGGGACTAGTTCACCTAGAGAAATGGCCCTTCAGGAGTTGAGTTGTTGTGTATTTTCAAAAAGACTTATTTTATAAATTCAAAAGGGCTTCCCTCTGTCTCCAGATATTGTGAGTCGCAGGCAGTGTCGAGTGGTTTTTGCTGCAGGGCCCGGGCTAGAGAAACTCAGGAGCCTCGTGTTTCATTATCAACACTTGTCTGTAGTGTCCGGTCAGGATGCAGAGAGCGTGAAATAGCTTCTGCGCCCTTGCTCCAGGGAAGCTGCGGGAAGGAGAAGACAAGAATTTGGTCAGCCAGGGCTCAGGTCCCCGTTACTGTTGCTTCTGTTGCAGTGACAGCCCTCACGGAGAGACTACCTCGGCTGAGGACTCAACCCAGGATGTGACCGCAGAGCACCACACGAGCGATGACGGTACGAGGCCCCGCGTCCTGGGCAGTGGGGTCACCGGGCGGGAAGCCGAAGGAACAGCTGACGTAGCCTGTGCTCCGGATGCACCTTCCTGCCCAGCAGTCCCCCAAAGACAGGCAGCGGCCCCCCTGTCCGTCCTTTTCATTCCTTCCCTTTCATGGAGAGACAGCCTACCTTCTCAAATAGAATGGTCTCTGTGTTAAACCAGAGGTGAAACCTTTCAGAGCCTTTCAAGCTTCTCGCCCCAGCTCCCTGCCCCTCGCATACCTCCTAGCTCCTTGTCTCGCCTGCCTGTCTCGCCTGCCTGATGTTGGTCCCCTGTCACAGCCCAGACTCCTGCCAGGTAGCTGGAGACCAAAATCAGGAGAGTTCATTTGAAAAAACAGTGAGCCTGGGGAGGAGAGAAGCTGGGTGCCAAGAGCCCAACAGAAGCAAGCCAAGGGGGAGTGGGAAGCAGGATGCAGAAACCACACGCTTTCACGCCTGCCGACTGGAAAAATTGACCCTTTCCAAAGTACAGACGTGCGAGCGCCGTGCAGCCTGGCGGGCGTGCGTCGAGAGGTGGAATGCACAGCTGTCACCGTGGGCCCCTCAGCAGCGCCCGTGATTGATTAGGGTCTGTCCGGCCAGCACGCCTCCCCTCCTTCCAACAGTTCCGCACCTCCATTTCTGGACCACTTGGGCTCTTGGAAGTCTCAGCAGCTGACAAGGGGCCTCAGAATTTTCTGGGCATGAGAACGAAATGGCACAGCCTGCGGAGCTTTTTAAAGGAGAAAAAAAAAAAAAAATGAAGGCTGCTTATTTAGATGCTGAAGTCAGATGGATCAATATGATAATCTGCCCCATTACAGGAGGAGACTGTAGGGAACTAGGGAAATTTGTTCCTGCTAGAAGCTTTGTGTGTCTTACCTCTTAATCCTAGTGAAATAGAGCTGCTGTTTTCCAGTTGAGAAAGCAAAGGCCAGAGAGGTCAAGTGATATGCCCAAGGCTGCACAGAACTGAGATTTGGGATATTTAGACAGGCCTTCTCTGGTCTGCCTCCAGTAGCGAAATATCCAGCCCGGCCCTTCCGGGAGCAGGCCCAACCATCCTGCTGCCTAGGCGTGGTCTTGCCTGTAAGCAGCCTTTCTGTCCACTACTCAGAGTACCTGACTGAGATCAGGGGGGTTTCTTTTTTGCTCTCTGACCTCTCCCTGCGGCTCGGCCCAGATAGTGGTAATGATGACAACAATAACAATGGCCAGCGTGGACGTATTCTTACTACAGGCCAGACAGTGCTCTAAGTGCTTTTACAAATTGTTATATATTGACTCTTCGTAACAACTTCATGAAAAAGGCACTATTGTTATCCCTTTCTAACAGACAAGGAGACTGGAAGCTCACACAGAATAAAACTAAATATTGCATTTGAACCCCCTTTTAATTTTCAAATTAATTTTAAGTAAATTTTCCATGCATTACCCACAATAATATATTTCCATATTTTTAGCTCCTTGGAAAGTTGATTGGGTGAGTTATTCTCTCCTACGGAGACTAAAAGCTCATGTTCCACTGGGGAAATGGACAACATAAATAAAGTTTGTTGTATTTAAAGTACAATATGATAAATGTTCTCCAATTAGTGGCGTTATTTGATGATCAGAAAAGAAATGATGCTTACAAATACAGGATGGCAAGTTCAGTGATCGGGGCTGGCATAAACAGCTGTGTAAGCACCGGAGAAGTTACTCTAGGCCTCCTTTGCCCTGAGTGGGGCTCAGCCTCTTGGGCAGCGTGACGAGCTTCCCAGGAGGCAGATTGCACAAGGAAGACAAGGTTCCCACCCTGTACATGTGGTTCCTTGTTGCACAGAAACTGCTGAGACAATAAAGTATTCTTTGTTTTGTTTTGTTTTTTAATGCTGACATTTAAATTGTGACTCAGTGTGTTTCATCAGGAAGGTGAGAGAGAAAGGGATTCCAGGTGGGGGGGGAACAGCATGACCAAAGGCAGTTAAGGGTGCACACGTGCTTTCAGGCTGATGGCACCGCACCGTCTATGCGGGAATCCCCTGCCGCATACATAGATCATCCGTGGCTTATTTGTCACGCTGGGCTATCTTCCTGCCAGTGTGAGTTCAGCTAATTGGGGTTTTCCGCCCCGTTTCCTGAGTCTGTGGGTCTCAACAACATGTGTTTCCTTCTTTTCTGCCCCTCTCAGAGTGTGAGCCCATCGAGGCCATTGCCAAGTTTGACTACGTGGGCCGGACAGCCCGAGAGCTGTCCTTCAAGAAGGGGGCATCCCTGCTGCTTTACCAGCGGGCCTCTGATGACTGGTGGGAAGGCCGGCACAATGGCATCGACGGACTCATCCCCCATCAGTACATCGTGGTCCAAGACACGTACGTTGGGCCCCCTGCACCTTCACGCATCCTGGCTGCTCTGTGGGAGACTTTATTTCTGGCTCCATAGGAGGGTGAGGGAGACCAACCCCCAGGGGCACCAATACCGGCCTTGAAAGACGCCCCCC